ACATTCTTCCCTTGTCCATTGTGTTTCCTGGCTCATGGCCGTATCATCTGGAAGGTTCTTCTTTATCCATTATCCTCCATGGCCACATTCAGATTAGGTATTAGAGAGTTGCCCTTCTTGGTGTTATACAGGTTTAGTAGTCTACTTCTTGCTTATCAAGTTTGGAGGCCCAAGGGTTGTTTGAACAATCAAAGACATTTTTAGTCTGGTCTTCTAGTTTCTTCGGCAATCAGCTCCCTCAAATACTTCCATTCAGTTCCCAGTGTCTATAAACATGTCCAAAGTTTTTTCCCGAAACATAATTATCAATCCTGATTTATTTTTTGCTTCCTCACAACTTCATGGTTCTACCATGATGCTATCTGAGATAAAAGACCTGGGCGAGACGACTACATCCTAAATCTGTCTTTGTCTTAGGACTGAGTTTTAATGAATTTTTGTTCTTCCAATTCATCTTATCTCTTACTATTTGGGATCAAGAAGCAATAGACTATACTATCAAGGCATCAACTTTCTCCATTCCCTTTTATGTCTCCTTATAAACAAACCAACTCTAAAATCTAGAAAGTAAAAGCCAACCCCATTACCATTGGGACTCTGTAAACCTTTCCCTTAGAGCAAAGGCTGGCAAACTTTTTCTGTAAAATTCCAGATTGTAAATATTTTATTTATGTTGTGGGATGTACAATTTTTATCAAAACTATTGAATTCTGCTGTCGTAGTGCAAAAGCAGACATAGGCAATATGTAAACAAATGAGAGTGATTGTGTTCTAGCAGGCCTTGTTTAGATTTAGCCTCCGGGCCATAATTTGCTGACCTCTGATTTGAAGCTAAAGACTCAATGGGCCTGTGGTCAGCCATTATGTTTTCTCAGGTGAAAGTTATACTCTGATGATCACTTTATTTTCTCCTGTTGTGCAACTGCTAAGCTAATGTGATATATTAATATATTAAGGTTTTTGTTAATGCAGCACTCCATTTCTAGTACCAATAGAGTACTAGTTAAATAATGCCATTTTTTAAGACAAACTCACAAATGTCAGTGACTTAACCCACTAGAAGTTTACTTTGTTGATGTATAAAGTCCACACAGTCTGCTATAAGGGGTTGGTGAGGTTGGGGCACACTGCTCCATGCCATCATTTAGGGATCAAGGCTAACAATGGCTCTGTGATCATCAACACAAAGCTTTCAAGGTCTCCCTTGGTATTGACACCCAACCGATGGAGGAAGATGGATGATCACATATTAGAGGATTTTATGTACGGGGTGTGGATATGTACAGTGCTTCTCACATTCCATTGGCTGGGACATAGATACACCTGATTGCAGGGAAAGCTGGGAAATGTAGTCCAGCTTTATAGTCGGAAGTCATACACATATATCTTGGTGAGCAGACTGAATTCTCTGCCTCAATGACTAAATGCATATTAATGACTGAGGCTTTGCATACTAGCTGTGTGGTTTTAGGCTAGGCTCAGGGCCCACTTCACTTTTCTTATACTAGGCATTCAATCAGGATTAAATGTACAATGCATAAAAAGATGCCTTGCCAGTTGTCAAATATCAAACACTTAACATGCCTATGAGAATATAATAAACACCTGTATAGCCTTCTACCAGTTTTCTATATGTTACCATTTTATATTTTTGACTCAGATTTATTTTAAGAGGTAAAACATTATAGATACAGTTTGAGGCTCCCTGGTTACTTTTCCCCAATTCCATTACTCTATCTCCTTGCTCACTATCATGAACTCAGTGTTCATCATTCTTAGGTATTGGCCTCAATTTTTTAGAATTCAAGAGCTGCTGACTTACTTAGCCAGTTTCCAATCACAGTCAGCCAAATCTCTGGTGGGATCAATGGCATGGTATTCTGGTTAAAGCATTTCAGGAATGTAAAGCCCTCCCCAAATCGTTCCTCAGCCCTCATAACTAGTCCCAAGGTTCAGTGACCTCCTGGGGATGGGAGAAGAGGGAGATAAGAAGTTAAAGAGGTAATCAGCAGTCAGACCACAAAAAGCCTTGTGTGTCAGCTAAGGATTAGGATTTTATCCTGAAAACAATAGGGAATCCCATTCATTAATAGTCATGGTCAAAGTTGTGGTTTAGAAGGATAATTCTTGTAGCACTGTGAGGACTACACAGAGCCAGGATAGTTCTGCAAAGAGATAACATGAACTTCAACTAAAACAGTAGCCCTTGGGGATAGCCCTTTTCATGGCATAGACCTGGAAGATTTTAATTCTTGCTATTTCAGAAAGGGTTGCGCTGCAGTTTGGCATGGGGGTGTCTCAAGCAGAGACTTCTGCTCCTGCCTAGCATTTTGACCTTGACCTTTTTAGCTAAGTGATAAAGGGGTCTCTCTCCATCAGGATTATAGCTCTGTTGAACTCCTAAACACTTTACATGCATTATCTTTTTTAATCTTCATGGCAACCCTGTGGGATAGTTATCATTTCCACTTCATTTTAGAAATGAGGAAAGTGAGGCCCAGAGTAGTTAGGTAGCTTGTCCAAGATTCTTAGAAAGATTGTGAGTTGGGTTGTTTTTAACTTGAGTCTGACTTTACCATCTTGCCACATCATCTCTCTCAAGGGATAACCACAAACTAATATTGATTGAGAAATTATTATGTGATAAGTTCTGTTCTAAGCTCTTTACATGTGTTATTCCATTTAATCATCAGTATAACCCTTCGAAGTAGGAAATATTATTATCCGCATTTTACTTTTGAGGAAACTAAAGTCCAGAGAATTTAAGTAACTTGTTCAAGATGACACATCTGGTTAAGATGATTGAGACGACATAACTCTAGAGCCATTGCCCTGTACTGCCTCTAATGGGAAGGCATATTATTTTGATCTCCAACACTATAGGAAGAAGGAAGGAGGCTATGTTTTAATTTAAAGCATCTTATTCAACTTTTAAAATATAGCCCTAATTTCAATGTGTCAAGATATTATAGAAAACATAGCTATAAGCCACACCCAATACCAGATTTGAATGAACACAGCTGATTATCAATACTTATAGTTTTGTTTCAGTCCTTGCCAAAATGACTTCTAGTATGGCAGAGTAGTCAAAGGAGAGCTGGGCTAAGAGCTAGGAGGTCAAGGTTCTAATCTCGCTTCTGCCATGAGCAGCCTTTGTGATTGCTATGGTGTGAATATTTATGTCCCTCCAAAATTCATATTGAACCCTAATTCCGTTGTGCTGGTATCAAGAAGTGGGACCTTTAGGAAGTGATAGGGTCATGAAGGTGAAGCCCTCATGAATGGGATTTGTGCCCTTATAAAAGAGGCTTCTCCTGTTTTACCATGTGGGGATGCAGAGAGAAAGCACCATTGTTGAAGTGAAGAGTAGGCTCTCACTAGATACCAAATCT